GCTGTGTAACCTTTGATGCCTGGTACATTTTTGATGATTCTGGAAATCCACAAACATTTCCTTATTTAACCAAAAAAAACAATCTTGTATACACCGCTAAGGTCCATAGATGTTGACATGGTAGAATTTTTTTTCAATAAATAAATTATGGGGACCATGAGGGTAAACCGTTTCTGTACCCCACACATTTCAAGCCAATAATGAACCTTTTGTACCCTTATTGATAAAGATAATGATAAAGTATTGTACCCTTAATAATAAAGTATTGTGGTGAAAAGGGTAAAAATGAGCTAAAGATTAAGGTAAGTGGGCAGAAGCACGGGATGAAGAAAAGAGGGAAAAAGAAAGGGTTGAAGAAAATACCATTCAAAATTAGTTATCGAGAGCTGAGGTCCAAGTATTGGACCTCAGTCTCCTCCTAAGCCCCCCACAACAACGATCAAAGGGATTGGGGGGACCTTCAGAATACACCCCTTCCTCCACTCCATCTCTTCTTGACAATGTCTTTGTTGTCTGCCTCTCCTACTTCATTACTATTCATCCTTACTGTCGTCCTCTGCAAAGCACTACCTTACTCAACACCACCTTCTCTTCCTCCTGCCCTTGGTCTTCTTCTGCTTCCACCTCTGCAGACCTTTTGAGTGCTCTTTTTAGCCCAGCCAAGGGGGATCAGTTCTTTGTGATTCTACCTTCCACCCCTTACTTTGACAATAGCATCTCTTCTAAATGTCTCCAAAAACAAGTTCACACATTGTAATAGTTGCATCTGAGTCTAAGCTCATGCACTATCTACTCTGAACAGACCTCACTGGCAAACAGTGAGGTCTGGAATCGTTTCCATCTCTCCAACTGTCTACAACAAGGACTGGTCAGACTATGAAAACAATCTGCTGGCTTGCCTCATTGACTATGAAGCAGTGGCAGTACAGTGCTACACTATTCCTTCCAGAGGCCACCATAAGTCTTACATCAATATTGCCAAGATTAGCTTCTGTAGACATGACCACCCCATGAAGTAAATATGTGACTGAGCAGGGGGGCTGCAGAAAGAAAATTTTCCTTGTTTTTGGAGCAATTGTTAGAAAAGGGAGTGTTGTCAGAGTAAGGGACTGTTGTGGGGATCACAGAAAATTGATCCCATTTGGTTAGGCTAAACAGTACTCAAAAGATTTGTAGGGGAGGTAGTAGGACAGGGATTTGTGGAAGAGGGAGCGGTGTTGAGTAAAGTAGTACTGCAGAGAGATGAGTAGTAAGGCTGCATATTAGTAATGGTTAATGGTTAATGGTTAAAAGCAAGATAAATGTGCTAGACATCTAAGGTCATGTAGCACTATAGTTAATGTTAGTGAAGGGTGGTTGAGTTAGTGATTAGTTGTCTAAGCTGGGCAAAGGAATTAGTGAATGAAAGGGTTAAGGTCGGGTGTTATATTAGATAAAGGGTATGCATAAGAAAGGTTTCTTGAAGGCATACAATAGATGGGTTATAAGAGGAAAGGATATGATGGTCAGGTCTGTGGGAGCGGAAACCGCGAATATTCCAATGAAGGATAGTTATACTTTCGTTGATTTAGTGATGTAGATTGTAGTACGTGTTGGAGAATTTGAAAGGGAAGCAGCTAGAGGGTGGGATAAGGACTGAGAGGTTTGAGATGGGAGAGGTGTGGGAGTTGGTGTTCTATCAGGAGGGGTATTAGGAGATGGAGGGTCTGAGGAAGGGGATACTTGTGACATAAGGGATTCACGTGTGTATCCAGGAGGGAGTGGAAGGGATAGGGGGGATGGTGGGAGAGTTAATGTGGGCAGGGTTGGGGTCAGGGGGGATGGGCTGTGTTGGGAGGGGGTAGGAGGGTAGGGTGTAGGGGGGATATCGTTAGGAGGAGGATGGATATCAGCAATTACTTGGAGTGTGGAAGGAGCAGGAGTTGTAGGTTGAGTGTCGGTTTTCATTAAGTAATCTTGAATATTTTCAATAGTTTCTTCTGTGGAGTTGGTTGGGGAGTTTTGGGGGATAAAGGATTTCTTATGAGGGGGGGAAGAGAGGACTGGTGTCTCAAGAGTACGGGCAAAGGATGGTGGGGGTGATTGTGTGGTAGGGGAAGAGGGGGTGGAACGTTTGTTCTGTCTGTTACGGGGAGTGCGAGGAGGGAGAGGGGAAGGTGTTGGGGTTGTAGTGGTGATTGGAGTATCTGTAGTAGAGATTGGAGTTTCTGGATTTAGGATGGCAAAAGAGTTTGACTGGGGAAGGTAGGTAGGGTTAGTGGGGGGGGTTAGATGTAGGAGGGGTGGGTTTAGGAGAAGTGTTAGGATGAGCAGTATTACTGGAGTAAGGAGTAAGAGAGAATCCACGTCGACGTGCTTCCTGTCTGGCTTCACGCAGTGTGAGTCCGAGTTTGAATCTGAGAGTTGCTACCTCAGATTCAAATTTGTAGGTGGGACAGCCCCTATAAAATACATTATGGGGGCCGCCACAGTTGGCACATGTGCGTGATTGTGCAGAGCAGTTAGATCGGGTATGGCCAGGTTGGGCACATAATGGGCATCTGGCTGTGGAACGGCAGTGTTTGGCTGGGTGTCCTAGACGCCAACAATTTTGGCACTGACGTGGAGGAGGTTGGTATGGACGAACAGGGAGGGATTCTCCTCCTATGTAGACGTTAAAGGGAAGGTCATGTCTACGGAAGGTAATTTTGGCTATGTTAGTGGGTTTCTTTCGATGACCTCTGGGGGGGATGGAATAGCATTGTACTGATGTTGCATCGTAGTCTGTGAGACAGGCAAGTAGATCTTCTCCACAATCTGACCATTCTTTGTCATAGATTGGGCAATTTGTTAGTGAGATTGAGACTGTTCCGGTGCAAGTATTGAGGGTTGGATGGGGTTCTGCTAGGATGGGGTTACCATATAGGTCAGTTAGTTTTGTTAATGCTATGGCTTGGTTTTCGGATGTTACTGTTACAAGACGGGAGCGGTCGGGTCGGCTACGGAAAGAGACTTTACCTACTTGTTTTTGGAGGCATTGTTGGAAGAGAAGGGTGTTGTTAGAGTAGGGAGCTGTGGGAGGGATCACGAAAAATCGGTCCCATTTGGCTGCACTGAAGAGAGTATTCAAGATTGTTTTAGAGATAGGGGTGGTAGAAGGGCGAGGGCGTGACGAAGATGGAGTAGTGTTGATGGAGGTAGTGTTATGGAGAGGTGGGCTATAAGGCTGTAAGGTATTAATAAGGGAGGATAGGGTGGTTGATGTTGGAGGTTGTGGGGGTAGAGGTGTTGAAGTTGGGCATGCTGGGAGAGTGGAAATGTCCCTTGAGGGTTGATTGTTGGCTACTGTACTAGTAGGCATTGGTGAAGGGGTAGTTATTGCAGTGTTTGGAGCCGTGGTCAAAGGAGAGCCTGGGGTCGGGGAATCGGGTGGGTTTACTTCGTTGGGGCTATTTGATAAAGGGGCAAGCCTCATTGCCCCTAACAGTGGGGATATATTTTCATTACTGGCTATGGGAAGCCTGGATTATGTTGGGGATAAAAGCAGTCCACCCCTCAGGGTCCCCTTGAGGGGCAAGGGCTAGATAACTAAATCAGGGGAATACCGTGCCCATGGCTCCCTCAGGCCGTTCAGGACTGGCACAAAGTCAGCATTTCATCCTTTCAGCACGGCTCTCACACCTTAGGAGGTGGATAGTAGAAGGGTTTGGTGAAGGGACAGAAACAAAAGTGGGAAGGGAAAAAAAAGACCATGCATAATTAGTTGAGTCGAGGGCTGAGTCCCAAGGTTGGGGAGTTCCCCATCATTGGGTCCCAGTCTCCGCCTCCTAAGCCCCCCCACGACAACAACGGGCAAGGGATTGGGGGGGTGCATATTAGTAATAAGGGAGGGGGGGTATTTTATATTTATTTATTGAATATATTCTGCCATGTCAACATCTAAGGTCATGAACAATGTGTACAAATTATAGCAATAGGGTAGGGCTTGGGGGCAAAACCCCCAGGTTGTGGATTTCCAAAATGGACAATGGTCAAAACAAACAAATGTACCATGCACCAAAAGCTACACTGCATTTTGGTAAAGTAATGTGGCCAAAAAGGATAAATTTGGGTTAACGATTTGGATAAGTGGACAGAAGGGGATGAAGATTTGATTGATTATTTAAAATTATCTGCCGCGTCAACAGCTAAGGTCATTAGCAGCGAAGGGGATGAAGAAGAGAAGGAAAAGGAAAAGAGAAGATTAAAAGACCTTATAAAATTATATGAGGCAAGGGCTAAGATCCATGGCAGGGCTGATCCCTACATTGGGCCTTAGTCTCTATCTTCTATGCCCCCACGACAACAACGAGCAAGGGAATGGAGGGAGGAGGGGGCAGTTGAGGTTGAGTAATGACCTGGGTGCATGATTTGGACTGGACTGAGGAGAGCGTATGCAATGAGGAGGAGGCAGTAGTTGTAGTCAAAGGAAAGCCTGAAGTCGGGGAACCAGGGGAATTAATATCAATGGGGCTAGTTGATAAAGTGGCAAGCCTCATTACCCCTAATAAGTGGTACAAAATCTTCATTACTGTCCATGGTAAGCCTGGAGTAGGGTGTGGAGAGAAATGGTCCAAAGTCAGCCTTTCATCCTTTCAACACAATTCACACACCTTAGGAAGTGGATAGTAGAAGGGGTTGGAGCAGAGAAGAAGAGAAGAATGAAAAATCAGTCGAGTTTAGAACTGAGAACTTAAACCCCCTCTCCCCCCACAGCAACCACAGGTAAGGGATTGGAGGGTACATTAAAGATAGATAACATTTAACATAGATAGTAAACAAAACACTGATCTGTATATAGGCGAGTTTTAAATGTGTATTGAATAATGAATGAACTGAATCAATGAAGAGTGAATTGTACTACTAATAAAATTTCAAAATAAGCCAAGAGCATTAAAAATACTTTTTGGCAAGAGTGCATTCCAGAAGCCATTTGTGAATATATATAATTTTTAAATACAATGGGAAATAAAAGAATAAACTGGTACCCACTTGTACATTTTATTAGTTAAATCAAAATCATTACTGATATGCATATAAAATGGAAGAGTACAGTTAATCAACATTTGCAGTAGACAATTATAATTATAATAAAGCAAAGTAAAAAGGCTAGATTTTCCCATACTGTGTGATAATTATGCCACTGTCTAATACATTTCCAAATTCACCAGCTGTTGGTAAAGAAACTAGAGGAATAATAATAAATTATGGGACTAAACTACATACAGCATCAAGTAGAGTAATGAAAGATCTCATTCAAAATTTGTGTAAAAATCGCTTTTCTTCTTATAAAAGTAGCAACATGTATCCCTACCATGATTTTTTTCTTCTTCTTCTTCTAGGGATAATGAATGAGACCAACTAATTCCAGAAGTGGCAACCGTGACAATGTGGGAAATATTTCTAAAGGAAGAAACAGACTTGCCTTACCAGTACGCTGATCTTGTTCCTCTATATTATTTATTATCCTTTTTTTTTACCCTGGATTATATTAACTTCAATGCAAACTTTGGCTACATCATTCCAGTTGATCTTGTTAGCATCTCTTTACAAAGGTTATAAATATCTTTCTTCTCATGCATTCCTTATCCATACGCATTTTTTTCAAACAATTCTTTGGCTATTTAGAGGAGGAATCAGACTGGTTCTAAATAACTTGTGCTCTTGAGTAACATTGTGTCTTACATTCATATGAGTAAAAAAGCTTCAAACTTTTCCATTTTAATGTTGTTGTTTTTTTTGGATAAATAACTGATACAGTCTAGAGCTAACTGTTGACTTGGTGGGGGAAATGGAATCACAAATTAGATGAACTATTAACAAATTCATGATCCTTTCTAATATTTTAACTGAAGGAATCTCATTTCATTGACTGTGTTTTTCTATCTCATTGCACACTATGGCAATTACTAAATCAAGCCATAACATCTAAATAATTTGGTGCCAATACTTTAAATAAGTTGTTTGTAGTTAAATTATGTTAATGTAACACTGGCTTCATATTGATTGTATAAAAAGCTGATACTAGTCATTATTCTTGTGCTTGCATTATTAAACCTTAATTTCACTGTGGACTCGCCAATTTCTAAAACCGTTTACCTCTATGGCATGAGGGAAAATTCTTTAATCAAAACTACATAAATCAAACTATAATCCACTACAAAATTTGGACATTTCTTGAATCCACTTTTCACAAAATCCTTTAAAAAATCACTTCCTGGGATGACTATTCACATCAAGCACCAATAAATATCCTAAAAATGTGTTTTCTTAGTGTATGTATACAATTTTGTTTTAAATCAAGTGTAAATTAATTGTGCCAGGTTCTAAAATTATCTCCTCTCTTCTCACTTTCTACTTCCCCTACGTGAGCATTGTTTGACTGATTCTAACCAGCCTTTTCGGTACATGTAGTGACCAGGGAATGGCCCTTGATCACGGTCTTGAACTGCTCAGGAACAGGACACTCTACAAACTCTCCATCCTCTTTGGGGATGAGGATGTTCATTTCTGAGGACTTGGCTGAAATGATCTCTGTGTTGAGAGACTCTTTGCTCAGGTATACATGGCAACCGTCGGTCTTCTCAATCGTGATGGTTGGCATAACACCCATCACCTACAAGAAAGAAAAGATTATGATGGAATGAGAAGAATATATGTATATACTAAATATATTACATTTACTTCAAATTTAACATTATATTCTTATCTGAACAGTATCCTGTAGACTGATAGTTATTAACTGCCCTACAAATGAGTTTTAGTTTATCCAACTATATAATTACTAACTTAAATACAAAGTTAGTTGAGGTACTATTGGGAATACATGACAAATGAATTAACCAATATTCTTACCTGGACCTTGCATGACTGACAATTGACAACCTCTGCAGAAGACACCAGGTTATCAAATACTACAGCAGACTTCTTACAGGAGTCCAATATGACTGAATTAACTTTACCCTGTGGAGTCAAATAATTATAAATATGATTCCCAGATACCTAAGAACATAAATATTAATGATGTATGTTATCTTCTATTACCATAAAAACTCATATAACAAGCATGACAGTCACTGAACAAATATCTGTCAGGTAAAATGAAATTATGCAAGCAAGTTAAAAATAAATAAATAAATAAAATAAATAGCAAAAGAAAGCCTACCTTAACTTGAACCACTGTGTTCTGGCACTTGAAGATGTACACAGACTGGTCCATCTTAGCACTATCGACCACAAGACTTGGTTTGTCTTTCTGGTATTCGACGAACCACTTCTTCCCTTCCAGAGCAAACTTGGGAGGGCGTTCCGGGGACTCGCGAGAGGGTGCACGGACAGGGGTGGTCTCAGTCTGCTTGACAAATGGTTTTGGTCCCTCACGCAGACTGGGGTTTTTGTGGGTTTTCTGGTCGTCTCTAACCTGGAAAATGAGTTGGAAATTTGCATTGCTAACTTTTCTTTACATTTGTTTCTCTCTTTCTCTTTTTCGTTTTTTAGGGTTTGCATTTTTTTTCTTTTTTTTTTTGCTTTATTCTTTGTAGCTTGACTGATTTTCTATTGACCTTTACCTTCCCTTGAAAGCAAAAATAATGGTTAGTGAAAGCATTTTTTTTTTTTTTTATACTGCATTGTCATTATACCCTGTAATTATATAAAAAAAAAAAAAAAAAAAAAAAAAAAAAAAAAAAAAAAAAAAATCAAGTTAAGAGATTCTAATGCTGAATGCTTATTTTTACATTTAAGATATTCCTGATTGTTAATTTCATCTATTAAAAAAGCTATACTTCAGATTTATTAAATATCCATAATGATACTGGAAAAATAGAGGTTTTCATTTATACTGAAATATGAAATTAATCCAAGCAGGGATGAACCTGCCCCATAGAAATACCAACATTAAACAGGGATTAGTCAATGACACATTAGGTGAGGCATATTTATGCTGCTTTGGTTAGTATGAACATGAAATGAGTTAAAATTGAGCTAAGGGAAAAAAGAAACTGTTGCTAGAAGCCTTTTCAGATTAGTAAGATAAGTATAACCCTTCCACTTAACTTGTAGTCCCATTAGTCCATTCAAAAGACCAGATATATGAATAAAGTTCCAATTTCATACCACTTTTTCCAACGACATACAATACCTTTCAACTGCACTTATATACGTTTACATACAATAAAGATAATAAGTCAGTGACATCAGTAAGTTTTAATCTAAGTTCCTTCAAACTTCCAATTATTCATTAGACACCTACATGCAGGACTTGGATACCCATCTACATATACAGTACAGGATATTTTAAAGTGCATATATATATGTATATATACTTATATATATATAAAAGCCTCCACATACACATACAAATACCTGCAAATAAAACAGGAGACAAATGTCATCTACATATCCATTCACCTAAAAGTTTGGAAGGGAAAAAGGCCTATGTGTGTGCATGAATAAAAGTCTTTCCAGCATTTTACAGCAAGAGGTAATGCAGCTTATGTAACCTGTATACCAGAGAATACCCCCATAAAAGAAAAGATATGTCAATTTACTGTCTGTGGCGTCCACACCCCTGGTGGAAGACGAGGTGCGTTGCGGTCCACCTAAATAAGAAATAAAATAAAACCTGATAACTTTTTCTGGTTATCCTTTAACACAAAAAAATATTGTTCCACAGATGAACAGGAAAACCAACTTGTTTTATGAGGTTGGTGCAAAGGTGTATCTGTGAGACATCTATGGAAGGAAAATAAAACTCCCGTCCAACTCTTGGACTGCTGCTACATTTCAAACTCGAATACAGATTTACTAACCTGGTACATACACTCTCTCACTCACTCAGCTCATCTCCTTTGGCTTTCCCTTTCTGATACTCCCAACTCCCAAAAGACTCAAATGTCTATTTGATGATAGAAACAAGGTCAAAATGCTTGTGAATCCTTCAATGCAAGACCACTGGACCAAAAAGAGGAATCTTCGACTGAAAACTGCTTGGTTTAACAAGACTACCTCACTGTGCCCTGACTTAGCGGATCTATCACACTGCAAGTAGTTCTTTGTTATGATTTGTATCAAAATAGCATTTTAATTTCTTTGGCGGAGTAATGCATGCTTTTTTATTTTCATATAACCAAACTAAAGCATAGCAATTCTATAAACTAATTTGTAAAAGCATAAACATCACTCATTCCAAGTAATTTCATATATAATTGGTAAGAAAAAGCTTATCTTCTCTCTGCACATATACCTTAGGATAAAGGTTTGGTTTAGAAATTATGGATGTAAATTGCCAAAACTATAAAAAGAAAAAAAAAAAAAAAAAAAAAAACGGCAATACTCCTGCAACAATAATCTAACCCCATAAATCTGGGTAACTTTACTATCATGTCATTAAAAAAATCTGGCTGATGGCCAGTGAAACAGGAATGACTTATGAGTGCACAAAACTCTTGGAAGATTAAACTCAGTTGGCACTTAGAAAGGGGATGGAAAACAAGGGTGGAATGTGCCATCCTTGAGCCATGGCTGGAAGAGTGCCAACTCCAGGGAATACATTATTTCCATGGTCAGGATCCTACTCCTGCCTGCTGTGACCAATGGTGCATGGACTGAATAATATAAAAATATAAAAAAATGGCAATAACACAATGTTACTTATTCTTATTGCACAGACTTGCTAACTACCTAGAGAGAATATGTAGTCTGCTCAAGGAAAACAATCTATTTACTATCTTCACATACATACTGATGAATATAGACCTTGGAAAATGGCCAAAATGCAGAAAAACATTTGTGCAGGAAGAGCTTATAAAATTGCAAAGGAGCAGCAAGGTGTATTGACACTGCAAACCACACATCTGGAAGAGTCACCACTCAAGTAAGCTTAATGCCTGGATTTTGGTGAACATGCAAGACACCCGGATAAAACAAGTTAATAGCTCAGTGCTCTAAACTTCAAATGATCCTCAAAAGTCTTTGACATCACACATTCACGTTGAATCTCTTACACGCTGTTCAAATATTTTGCATTTCTTCTGTGATATAGTTTTTAAAAAATAATCAAATAAAAAAAAAACAAGATGCAAAACAACAAGAACACATTCTACACAGTAATAAGCATCACACTATCATTACCAATGTTAAACACAAGATAAAAAAAAAAAACAATGATTAAATATCAAACAAAAATAACAAGTATAAAACAAAATCAAAGAAAGACCAAGCAAAACAGTACACCAGCCCAACACCTTACCTTCTTGAGCCCGGATGTGATATCTGTTCCCTTGTTGATAGAGGCGAAGAGTGCAGCTCGGCCGTCATCCTCCACAGCCACGGCTTTTGGCACCAGTGGGACCATTGGGGGAGGGGGAGGGATGCCAGCTACCGACAATACAGCGAAAGTTAGCTACATTTTTTCAACCGCTAGGAGAATAAATCAACACAAGTTACACTGACGATGCCAGTGATGCGACCGGGAGAACGAGAAATAAATCAGCTTGTTTTCTTTTTCTTTACAAGTCTGACAAGGAGGATGCTTGAATGTGCTTACAGTGAAATAAACCATTAAAAGTGATTCTGTTTTGCAAATCAGTTAATCAACTTTGCTTGCGGATTGTGAAGTACGTATCTTGCATCTGGAATAATTAAGCAATCATAAAATATCTAAAACACAGATAAGCAGTCTTTGACCACTAACTTGCAGAATTTTTTTTCATACATTCTCTTAATACATTAAACATATATAATATTCAGTAAATTAGCAATAAAATTTGTTTCGAAACATCTTCATGTTCAGATTTCATAATCATAACTAATGCTGTATAGTTTCACTGGGTAATTTTTGATACCAGGTTTTGCCACCTTTTATCCTAAAAAATAACTATATAATCTATGGCCAAAATCCTACAAACAAATGACACAAAGCTAGCAAAACACTAAAGATGTGAGCATACAACTAAATGACCATAAAAATGCCCCTACAATAACTCTAAACCTACTACTTATACATCTATGTGGCTTATTGTGATAATCCTACATATTACAAGCTATGTATTGTCAAGTTACTGATTTCAACCGTTTTATCTTTCACTCTTTTCCATTTGTGGTTATTTCACTATAAGAAGGATACGGGACAGAACAAAAGTCTTATCTCAACTAGCAGGTATGATTATTTTCCAGTGAAAAGTCTAATTCCATTATTTAGATGTATGTTAACATAAATTTGCCATGTAATTGTAAAATATGAAGAAAAAAAATGATAGGAAAGAATTGAATTATTGTTATCAATAAAGACTGCAATACAGAGAGAGAGACTTGCTAAAAAGTTAGATTATGTGAATGCTATCTCACTTATTTTATTCTCATCTTAAAATAATAACATGGTTAAGATTAAAAAAAAAAAAAAAAAAAAGAATTCTCCTTGTAAAGAATTTATGCTAAAATATTCTAAGTAATCTTATCAAATGGAGCATATAGTTATAACTACAGCTACCAGGTATACTTGAGAAATTAAAAGAACATAAATAACAAATCTAATAATAATAGTCAAAACAATAATATAATAATAATAATAACAATAATAACAATAACAATAATATAATAATAATAATATAATAATAATAATAATAATAACAATAATAACAATAACAATAATATAATAATAATAATAATAATAATAACAATAATAACAATAACAATAATATAATAATAATAATAATATAATAATAATAATAATAATAACAATAATAACAATAACAATAATATAATAATAATAATATAATAATAATAATAATAATATAATAATAATAATAATAATAACAATAATAACAATAACAATAATATAATAATAATAATATAATAATAATAATAACAATAATAACAATAACAATAATATAATAATAATAATAATAATAATAACAATAATAACAATAACAATAATATAATAATAATAATAATAACAATAATAACAATAACAATAATATAATAATAATAATATAATGATAATAATAATAATAATATAATAATGATAATAATAATAACAATAATAACAATAACAATTATATAATAATGATAATGATAATAATAATAATAATAACAATAATAACAATAACAATAATATAATAATAATAATATAATAATAATAATAATAACAATAATAACAATAACAATAATATAATAATAATAATAATAACAATAATAACAATAACAATAATATAATAATAATAATATAATAATAATAATAATAATAACAATAATAACAATAACAATAATATAATAATAATAATAATAATAACAATAATAACAATAACAATAATATAATAATAATAATAATAATAATATAATAATAATAATATAATAATAATAATAATAATAATATAATAATAATAATAACAATAATAACAATAACAATAATATAATAATAATAATAATAATAATAATAACAATAATAACAATAACAATAATATAATAATAATAATAATAACAATAATAACAATAACAATAATATAATAATAATAATATAATAATAATAATAACAATAATAACAATAACAATAATATAATAATAATAATAATAATATAATAATAATAATAATATAATAATAATAATATAATAATAATAATATAATAATAATAATAACAATAATAACAATAACAATAATATAATAATAATAATAACAATAATAACAATAACAATAATATAATAATAATAATAATAATAATATAATAATAATAATAATATAATAATAATAATATAATAATAATAATAATAATAACAATAATAACAATAACAATAATATAATAATAATAATAATAATATAATAATAATAATAATAATATAATAATAATAATAACAATAATAACAATAACAATAATATAATAATAATAATAATAACAATAATAACAATAACAATAATATAATAATAATAATAATAATAACAATAATAACAATAACAATAATATAATAATAATAATAATAACAATAATAACAATAACAATAATATAATAATAATAATAACAATAATAACAATAACAATAATATAATAATAATAATATAATAATAATAATAATAATAATAACAATAATAACAATAACAATAATATAATAATAATAATAATATAATAATAATAATAACAATAATAACAATAACAATAATATAATAATAATAATAACAATAATAACAATAACAATAATATAATAATAATAATATAATAATAATAATAATAATATAATAATAATAATATAATAATAATAATAATAATAATAACAATAATAACAATAACAATAATATAATAATAATAATAATAACAATAATAACAATAACAATAATATAATAATAATAATATAATAATAATAATAATAACAATAATAACAATAAAAATAAAAAATAATAATAATAATAATAACAATAATAACAATAACAATAATATAATAATAATAATAATAATAATAATAATAATAATAATAATAATAACAATAATAATAATAAGAATAAAAAATAAAATAAAAACTACTTACTTGTATTCCTTGAGGACCCTGTTAGTATAGAATACGGCAGAGTCTCCCATTTCCTTAACATAAGGTGCTGGTGCTGGAGAAACAGCCACCCATGATAGGCCAGGAATAGATTCGGACACTGCAGACAGGTGATTGAAGAATGGCGACTGTCGTTTAGATTCCCTAAATGCAATCACTTCCTGGACCTTCTTGCCGGTTGGCTCTAGTACCTGCAGTAACATGGCTCATCAAACAGCTGGTAGTATATAAATATATAATTCTGGTAAAATATATTGGCTCTGAAATACGCTACCTTTACCTGTGCCTGTATCCTTACTTACTATCCTTTTCCTTCTTATTTGCTCTATCTTCCCTCCTTATAATCAACTATATTGTACACATACTAGGGCCGGGTCATTCCTGTTCAAACTTTCACGCAGTTTAAAAAAATTGAAGCTTATTCCTGAAATGATTTCAATCTAGTCTTGACTTTTTATCTCTCTCTTTCTCAGGCCAACTGACAAAAGGTGCCAAATATCTTCCTAATACTTTGAGGATTTTTTTTTATCAGTATAGAAGTAAATTCTGTCAAAGATATCTATTTCAACATAGATTATATTGGATCTAAATGTATTAAAGAAAAAAAGAAAAAAAAAATTGTCATAAGTGGTCTGAATAAATAGATGAGAAAATAAATTGATTCCCAAAACGCATGCATAATTCTCTATCGGCCCTATTTTTTTTTTTTTTTTTTTTTTTTCACTATAAACATTCATTTATCATATCAAAGTTCCCAGCCAAAGTCCTTTACAAAATTTCTTTTAGCCACCTAATTTTTCAATCACATCAAACAGACTCAGTAATAACATTATAACATCATACCTGAGGCAGTTCACTGTCAAGGGGTCGCTGACTCTTTGAAGCCATGACCAAGAAAGCTCGCTGATTGATGAAGGTTTCCTGCACCATCTTTGCAATTGCAGCAACATCTCCCCCAATCTGGTTGCTAGTGTCCAGGAAGGCCTTGAAGGGGCCGGAGAGGAGGTCATCGTAGGCAAGTACAAATGGCACTGTGCAATCCTCTGTTAAATAAACGCAGACATTAGACTCTTTGAAAATAATTTTATGAAACTTGTATGTGTATATTATAGTCCATATGAAACTTGTGTATGGATATTATATACATGTATGAAATTACTTTCTACTTCTAAACATAATCAAAAGTATTCTATTCTTGCATATAATTTACATGATAACCACCTCAATGCTAATAAAAAGGAAGAATACCAATGCATAAGTAATAAAGTACCTATACATATGTATGTACATATTTGCATGTTTGTGTGCAAAAGACTGTTCAGCACTTATTTTTATGTGGGAGGCCAGATTACAAAATTGTTTTGGGAAAACATGCAGTTAAGAGAATTCATTTATTATATATCTGATTAAAATTCTCAATTCCATTCATATAAAATTCTCTCTTCTTCCCAAGTAGCTACACTTTGCAACAGTAACATCATTTCTGAAAATGAACTGGTACTGCATGTACCTATAAGGAATCAGTATAAAAACAACAACACTGGGAAAGAGGAAAGAATCACATTTTAGAGAACTTTTCTTGAAATAGTGTTCCTCTGGTGTTTTCGTTATTGTCTGAAAATATTAAATATCACTGTTGAGCAATTCACTGTCATGTCAAGTGCAAAAATGTAACAAATCTATAAAGACTTCATCTGTAACATTAGCACACAAACAGCAATGCAAAACCAACACTGTTTTCTAATAAATCCTACTTTTGTACGGCAATTTTCATCTAATAGTACACTTCAAAAGCCCATGTATGTTGTTTCTAAAATGGAACTATCAAGGGAATCTAAATAATATTCATAATGAAATTGAATACTAAACTGATCATCAATGCATATACTCATTTTTTCATGAAAAATAATAAGAATATTTTTAATAATTTTATACATCACTGCAGACTCAAAACACTTATGATATCTCAAAGTAACTCAGTTACTTTTGTTTTGTTTTTTATCTTTAAAAAATAAAAATACTGGCATTAAATTCACTCTGATTTCCATTCCAAATTGAATAACATTTTCCCTTGCCTTCTTTTAATATCACTCTTAAACTGTCTTTGTAATAATCTCACAGAGTTACATATAGAAAAATGCGTTATCTTCAGTTTATATAGTGTGAATGACAATTGGGTGTAGCATTCCTTAAAAGCCAACTAGCCTTCACGAAGAGTCAGTTTCACGGTCTCATCTGCCATGACTACATACTGATCACTCAAGATCTAGCTAGATACAAGGTCAGGGGGGGGGGGGGGGAGGAAAGGAGGAAATGCTTAAAAAAAAATAAATAAATAAATAAAGTACGTAGAAAAGGGCAAATACTTTAAAAAATAAAAAAAAATAAAAAATAAGAATAATGCAGGGTGCAAAGGCAAGGGGGCCACACACAATTTCATTTACCATATCCAAGAGACACCTACCACCCCAAATCAAGCCTGGGCGACGCTCTGAAATGCGTAATCAGTTAAGCAAATAAACATGAAATTAGAGAGGGTTAGGAAGAATGAAAAATAGTTGTGAAATTAACAGACACAGAAGCAAGATCTAAAAAATTTCTTAGCAGGTCAAATCCAGTACATTGGATAAAAACAATCACTTCAGAGATATAACTGAACACAGAATTAGACTGAGAAGAGGCAACCATGATTTATCAAAAGAATGAGAAACATTCAGAAATTATTTATCAAGCAAAGAAACCATAGAAAAGGGGGTGGGATGTATAATGCAACTGGCTGGGTATTTCCATAAAAAAATAAACATTATCAAATGTTTCTATATCATGGCTTTCATCTTCCAGTTCGCATACAAAGACTAAAAAAGCAAGAAAAAAATGTTAACACTATTCAATAATTGTTAAAATAATCATCACATATTTGTAAAGAACAAAATAAAAAACTGAGAATTTAACACAAATACTTAAATATTTAAATATGTTAAGAAAAAAAAATAGATACATAGAAGAACTGAAACTGGTGGGAAACTATTCTAAATTTCCTAATAAAATAATGATATGGATACTGTTAATATAAACAAGTCTTTACTTTGAACCTCCGTATTATTGCAAAACCTTGGACCTGATAACACAGAACATGCTATCTATCTATACTAATATTCCCATTTTATTAAATGCCAATTCCATTTCTATTTTCAGGTACTCCATTCCATATCTTTTATAATTCCTTTGTCACACGTGTATGTCACTTACACACTTGTCTCTACATCTGCTAATTGTGTGTTGCCAACAGCTTTGTGGAAACCTTACTAGAAGTTTATGTATGAATGGCTTCTTTAAATTTCCTTTAAGTCTGTCACTTGCAAAAAATCACATGGATAACTGTATGCTTTAAACTTGGATGACATCAAGAACTTTTTGATTTAGTCATTAAATAAGAGATATAATAACGATTGATCAGAATATTAAAAGAAAAAAAATTCTCAAACCATACTACACATAAACGCATAGAAAACGAGACATTAAGGACACTGGCTGTGCGAGGGTGTTGTAGACTTAGTCTTAGAGCCGTGCCATGCAGAGCATTTTTTCCTATTTCCGAGTAAATATGAGGCCACTGCAGATTTACTTGTATTGCTTCCTACTCTATTTTTTATTCCATTTCAGTTTCCATTTTCCTCTATCTCCATGCACTGCTCCTGAATATATATATATATGTGTGTGTGTGTGTGTGTGTGTGTGTGTGTGTGTGTGTGTGTGTGTGTGTGTGTGTGTGTGTGTGTGTGTGTGTGTGTGTGTGTGTGTGTGTGTGTGTGTGTGTGTGTGTGTGTGTGTGTGTGTGTGTGTGTGTGTGTGTGTGTGTGTGTGTGTGTGTGTGCTTGTGTGTGTGTGTGTGTGTGTGTGTGTGTGTGTGTGTGTGTGTGTGTGTGTGTGTGTGTGTGTGTGTGTGTGTGTGTGTGTGTGTGTGTGTGTGTGTGTGTGTGCGTGTGCGTGTGCGTGTGCGTGTGCGTGCGTGTGTGTGTGTGTGTGTGTGTGTGTGTGTGTGTGTGTGTGTGTGTGTGTGTGCGTGTGCGTGTGCGTGTGTGCGTGTGTTTGTTTTTTAGCATTTGTGTGTTTGTTTTAGTATTTGTTTTAGTGTGTATTAGTGTGTGCATGTACATGTTTACATGTTTGAATATATGTATGTGTATGGATTTAAATGTATATACATATCTATGTATGTATATCTATATATCTATATATCTATATATCAGTATGTATTTATGTATGTATGTATGTATGTATGTATGTATGTATGTATGTATGTATGCATGCATGTATGTATGCATGCATGTATATACGTATGCATGTATATACGTATGCATGTATATACGTATGCATGTATATACGTATGCATGTATATACGTATGCATGTATATACGTATGCATGTATACATGTCTGAATTTTCAATATCTTAAACTGATACTTGGTCAAAACAAAATTACTTGAGAAATGATTAAAGAGAACTCAATGTGCATAAAATACCCCACAATAATTAAAAGTACACCACATACATTAGTAGTTCTGTACAATCGCAGGCCTGCTTGCAGGAAAGACACGCCTCACACCTTGACTGAAGTTAAACCACAGACCATGAACCAAAGCTCCATTGTTTGCACCAGAGAGTATTTCAAATCAATTTGGCAAGCACTTGTACCCAACATTATCTTTATTACTATATTCTATTATATTCAGATGTTTGTGAAATGGAACAGCCGTGGTATATGTGAAAGTAAAAGTTCATATTTTGTCAAGAGGGGGTGATGCAACCGTGTCAAGATGAAAAATGTGACAGATGCCAAAAAGAAAAAAGCAATATTCATCGCCTGAAACAACGTATGGTCTTTGAACACCCTGGGGTCAGCACAATGCTCCTAGTAGTCTGCAAGCTAAATCTAGTGTCAGATATAATATTGATAACCAAAGGGCCCACTACATGATTAGTTTCAAAATATGGGTTTGCTCTATGACAAAGTTTAAAATGCAGTATCATTCTTTAACTACATCATATACCTTTTTGCACAGAGGAGAGAAAATTTACAAAAATAAAAGGCTATTTCTAATTTTAATACTCAACCTACACCTTAGCCACTGGTCTAAGTATGGCCTTCTTGCCTATCCTCACTCTGGTAATGGCCAATAAACCTTCACTGTGTACATCCTGACGAAATCGAGTTTGTAGACTTCCTAAACAATTTTTGTCTAGTAAGTGGTCCAAATACTATACTATGAGAACACGTTGCAGATATTTGTTAGGCAAAAAAATGACAAAATATAAAACTTAAAAACCTTAATATAATAATCATTTTCTTATTTAGGCTATCACCATGCCCAGAAACTAGTCTGTTTTACAGTTAGTTGTAGCAACAAAAACATTTAGAAGGCACCTAAGGGTACAGATGCGGCCTTGCTCCCTAATATGCTTGCCGTTCAGTAAGGGCAGACGAGGTGACTAAGGTAGCCCAACTCGATATTTGACTTGGAGTACAAAGTTTAACAAAATCATTCAATTCAATACAGAAAACCTCTGCAAATATTCACCGACAAGTGAAAGTAACTGTCTACTTCCTTTAAAATGTCTTACTGAAAATATACATCACAACAAAACTGCTAAACCAAAACAGTTACAAGAAATATCAAAGGAAGTTGATCAATCCTCAAAAAAATAAAAAGTTAATCTTCCCCCGAGCACATATTCCACATCCCAAAACTTTCCCCCCATAAGGCTGAATACCCCAAGACCCAGGAAATAGGAGGGGCAGTCATACCCACCCCCCCACCCCAGCCCATACAAGAATCTGACAGCTGATTTCTCCCTAGCCTTGAAAATCCACCCACACCCCGATGCTTTTAAAAACTTGTGGGTTTATGCCTTGCCAAATACACAAATATCCACCCAGGGAGCTATTGGAAGCTGCCTCCCTTTGCTTCCTTGGTCTTTCCTCAGCCATAGAACCTTAGAAGTGGTGTAATATGTATGATAAAAAAACACCCGAGTCTACTCTATCTCGGCGATCCGGTGTCAGTTCCGCGAGACATTGCCAACTCAAAACGGGTTCTTCTTTTAAACGTAGACAACAACTCATTATCTTGCGGGTGTTGAACTCTGGATTTACGGATGAGTGACTTTCTTATATTTCATATTTTCATTTCACGATGGCCCTTTCTCCAATCATGCAGGAGATAAAGGCGAAGTACGGCAAGATATCAGCATGACTCATAGACGTGACAGGACCAGATACTCACGACCAGATACTCAAGATCCCACTTACATATTCACACATCTGACAGAAACCATAAAAAAAACCTAGGAGGGTGAAAGACATACCTGCCATTGTTTCTTCTGTGTCCAAACTTCCACCCCGGAAAAAAACTTCAATAGGACCTCTGCCTACACTTGCACACCCGGTATATAAGAGCCGACCAGAGACACAGCCGCCGCCGGGATCAGGAAAGCTTCAACTCCCACCTTCAGTCAAGCCCATAATCAGCTTGAACCCAACGCCGGCTGCCATGTGAATACTTAATTTATTTTCCATTTCGCTCCTTTCTCTCTTGTGTAATCCCCCTGGTGTTTGTATTTTGGGTCTGTTGGAAGGCATATCTTCGACTTTTTGTGTGTTTATGTGTGGTTTTCAGTCCTTATGCCGTGATTAATATGAATAATAAAGTGAGGAGTTGGCAACACGAAGCCACTGCAATACACCTATACCACAGCCATTTCGTATAGTTTCTAGGCCTGGGTATGTCTTCACTCTATAGATTCAAGGCCTGTGCGAAAGGATAAAAATCAAACTACAGTTAAAAATCCTTCACGGACACAAAAAAAAACATGCATAATAGTTTTATCCTCCATACAACAAAGACATTTCCTCTCGCTTCATTCTTGCCAACTTGCTTAATTTTTCTCATCTACCGAAACGTCTTAATTTGCATTCTAATCACCCATGGGGACATTTTGTACTATGTGAATCCCTTTAAGATTATCGATAATAAATGCTTAGACCGTTGGTGGCATTTAACAAAGTATCAAAAGAACGGAAATAGTGTAAATGTGAAGGCGGGGTCGAGGTTAGTCACTGCGAGGAGGTGGAAGGGGAGGGGGTGGGGGGAGGAGCCAAGGAAAGGGAAGGGAGGGGGAGAGAGAGAAGGGAGGGGGGAGAGAGGGAAGGGAGGAGGAGGAAAGGGAGGAGAGGGAAGAGGGGGAGGATGTCGAGGAATGGAAGAGGGGGGGGGGAGAGGCAGGGGAGTGGAATAGGGGAGAAGGCAGGGGAGGGGAACAGGAGACAAGGCAGAGGAAAGGGATGGGGGAGGGGAAGGGGGAGGAGGGAGGGAGGGGGCGTTATCATAGCGACGTCCGGTGATAGCAGGCTACCTTAACATACAAAATGATTTAATACACTAGTTAGAGACACGCTAACATTCCCTTGTCACAGTAGATACAAAGCAAAGAT